CCCCCCCCCCCCCCCACATTATTTTGCTGTACATTCCCAACAATACTTTACTCGACATAACCATAGTATCTCAATTCAGATTTATAGCAAAATGAATTTCCAATTTTAAATCTTTTCATAACTCTAGCAAATCCTATCTCCATACTCTAGTAGAGCTTGGACAAATATTTTTTGATCTTCCTCAAATCTTATGTTTGTTATATCTTTTTTCCTTTCAAAAAGTTGCAACAACTCAATCATAACACCCTCTTAATCAACATAACTAAGATATTTCCATTAAATGTGGACATTTGTTATGCACCAAATTCCGACATCAAAAACATATCTCGACCATATTAGATTTAGTGTCTTTTCATATTTATTGTTCGAGATCTCTCATATTCTCTTTCATAATGTATCAAATATTTATTCCATATTTTCCTTAATCTTGACATTCCTCCCATAACGAAATATATCAAATTATCATGCGCAATTCCATTCCTTCCCTATAAGTCTTGGATCTACGACTATTTTGTTTGTTCTTCTAAAAAAATCTTTCAATTTCTATATTTTTTTCCAAAAGTATATTTACTACATAAGTAATTAATTGTTCTTTGATTAAAATTTACTATACCAATATTGAATGTCCATTGTGTTAATTTGTTATCAACGACATTAGTTTGTAAAATTATTGGATTAACATATGAAAGATAAGTCAATAACAGAAATGATACCACACAAAAAATCTAAAAAAGTAAAAGGTTTATAATTTGGAGTCCATAACCCATTTGTGGTTGTTTTTGCCAAGTAGGACAGAAATGCGTGTAAAAAAAAAAAGAGTTACCTAACTATATATAACGCTCTTTTAAAGAGCGCTATACCTTAACGGACGTTTTGGAAGTTAAGGTATAACGCTCTTTAAAAGAGCGTTATATATATATAACGCCCTTATAAACCGCGCTATATATGTATAGCGCAGTTATAAAGAGTGCTATATATGTTTTGTGGGCCCACCAATAAGTCTCATATGTTTAACTGACATAACAATAATTCAAATGTGTATAGCGCCCTCTAAAAGAGCGTTATACGTAAAAATAAAAAAAAAATAAAAAAAAAAATAAAAAAAAAACAGCCCCTCGAGCTACGCATTGCCTTATTTAAAGGCGTTAGGATTTTACAAAAATCCATTCAAAAATATTCCTTACTCCCACTCAAATTTTTCTTCTTGTTAAATTCTCAAGCATTTTTTCATAATGTCTGAAGAGCGAAAAGCAAGGGTTTCATTATATTGGGGGGGTGAGGTTGTGGTGGCGAATAACTCTGTGAGCTATAATTTATCTCCACATTTTCATGTTAAGTTTTCACTTACAATGGAGTACGATAGATTAGTATCGTTATTATGTAATAAAATGAGTGTGAGGAAACGTTCGGTGAACCTTAAAGTAACCGGAAGATATCTGTATTCCGTCACTCTGCAAGGGGTTGCTTGTTACGCTTAGTTCAACATCGATGATGATGAAACTTTGAGGGATTTTTTGAGGACTCCGGATGAATACTGGGAATTTCTTGTGATAAAAATGTTGGAAATGTACGTCAAGGTCGAAGACGTTCGCAATAATGAGATTGAGCATAGTAGGGATAACCCTCAGCCATCGGGTGGTTATTCTGGAGCAGTTTTTGCCGGACAGATTCCGGATGAAAGAGTTTGCCCTGATTTAAACTTCTCACCACTGGCGAATGAGGAGCGAGAAAATAATTTCTCTCATGTTTTACATAATCCACAAGACGAGTGGTAAACTTCAATTTTCCTTTGTGTTACGATGTATATTTTTGTTGTATTGAATTTGTATTAACGCTCACATATTCCGCAGGGGGTACCAGCCAGATATGACTTTTACAAGTTATGAACCCTCGGCCAGTTGGAATATGCATAGTTTTGGTGTGTTGGATCATGGTGGTTCATCCGGGAGTCGTCACCGACAGGATAATGTCCATCAAGGAATGTCAACACATTACGACTTGTAAGTGAAGTGATACAACTATATGGAAAGTATTTATTAATTTCAGTAATGATGTTTACTTTGTTATTTGTGCAGTAAAAACGAGCAAGTTGAACCACCTGTCCTGACTCAATTTCGCGAAGACGACATATTAAATCGGGATCTGGCAGATGTACAGAGTGAGGAAGAGAACAGTGATTATGATAACAATGCCGATGATTCTAGAGACGACACACCCTTCCCTCGTGAGGATGGTGATGAGGAGGAAAAGAATGAAGGACCTGATTTGACAAGGGAGTATGCTCCACCCCCCGTTAGACCAAGAGTGTACGAGTCTCAAGTGCCGTTTTATTCAAGGAAAATTCCCTACCTTGATCATTTGCCAAATATGCCGGATGTGGATGCTCTGACAAGGGATTTTGATGAAATCCGGACAGCGATGTGGGATGATTCTAGACCAATGGTGCTGGCAAAAGGCATGCTTTTTCCTGATAAAGTGCGCCTAAGTAGGGCAGCGAAAATGTACAGCGTAAAAGAGTATCGTGAGATGACGGTATGGGAGTCAAGTCCGAATGTATGCAAGTTTGTTTGTCACAGATGGTTTACGGGTTGTCATTGAATGCTCCGTGCGAGCAAGAAGAACACAGGTCTGTGGAAAGTGGGTAAATATATTCCCACCCACATATGTAAAATGGACACATTCAATGGGAATCACTGCAACTTGGATATTGACTTGATTTCTCTTGTCCTTATTCTACACCTTGAAGCGTCCATAAGGTATAAAATCAAAGAGTGTATTACATCAGTCCACTAGGAATATGGCCATACCATTACCAAAAGAAAGGCATTTCTCGGGCGCAAACGTGTGTTTGAAATTATTTATGGTAACTGGGATAAGTCATTTGCAACTCTACCCAGGTACATGGTTGTACTGCAGCACTTTAACCCCGGGACGGTTGTTGAATGGAAGCTTGAGCGAAGTCTGGGAAGACCAGAATATATATTCAATTACGTGTTCTGGGCATTTAAACCAGCAATTGATGGTTTTTCGCATTGCCGATCGGTAATATCCATAGACGGCGCTCATGTCTATGGAAAGTATGATATCAAACTGTTGATCGTCGTTGCAGTAGATGCTAATGGACAAATACTTCCTCTAGCTTTTGCTATTTGTGCCAATGAAAGCCAAGAGACGTGGACGCTGTTTTTGAACCATTTGAAAGAGCACATTGTCAAACAGCATTTTCGGT